TGATTCCTGGACAGGTGGCAAGCCTAGTGAGAATCCTGAGATTCTTGCCAGAGGTATCTCTGATTCAGTATCATTGAGCTATTTGCATACTGCAAGATAATTGTGATTTCTCAGATGTATAAGAGTTAAACTCACCTGACTAGGTCTTATCAGGTGAATCTTCTGTTGTTGCAGTGCACACTTGCAGTTTTATTATTTAAAGAAACAGTGCCCTTTTGGTTTGGAATTCCTTAGCTAGTGTTAGCTTAGGGAACAGTAAACATTATAGGGAAGAGGTAGGTTAGGCATCTGACGGCCGCTTAGACAGTTAGAGGCCCGGTTGCATTGATAGCCTAAAATTAGAACAGGGACCAAGAAACCAATTCACGTTTCCTGAACCATGAGCGCAGTCGCCGACTCATCCTCATTAGCCGATTCCGGCTGTGAGGAATCACCCAGATAAGGACGAGGCGATGCCGTGGGAAGTTCCCCCTCCTCCTCGGACTCCCCCGAAAGGACAGAAGACGGCAACAGGCAGAGAGAGAGCGAGACCCAGCAGTACCCACGATCCTCAGCGCCAATGTGTCAGCTACCAGCAGCTTCCGATTCCGCATGTGTGAGGAAAGCTGCACGCTGTGTCTGCAGCCAGCGGTGTCCCGAACCGTAAGGAGGAATGCCCCTTCCGCCCGAGAGGAAGCCGGGGCGGAAGTGACCACAGAATAAGGGCGCTTGCCCTCATCCAAGATGGGGGACGCCTGGAGGCAGCAAAACAGAACGGGGCCTCGAGTAGCGGCCGCCGACGAACGGCGTCGGCCGCAACCTACACACATTCCCACGGAGCCCAAACCATCCCCCAGAGCCCATACCCCCACAGAAGCGAGCTCTCCAGGAGCCCCAGCCGCACACACAGTTCAGCCAGACAGACACCATGAGGCAGGGGGAGGAGGAGGGAGCAGGCAGCCAGGAGGCTCCAGCTGTGACAGAAAACAGCACAGCCCCAGCGAAGCTTACCACTCAGATAAGCTTCCGATCCTCTCTAGACAGTCACCGCAGACCCCACAGACATACCCCCGCAGGGGACACGCCGGACTCAGGTCCAAGGATCCCCAGCCAGGACGTGTAGGGGAGCTGCAGATAGAACGCCCCCGACCATAGCCGCGGCGCCGCCAGCCTGTGGGGAGTGCTGTGACAGGTAGGCCGGGACCCCCTGTCATATGCACCCCCCCCCCCCGGGACGAACCCAGAGGCGTCTAAAGGAACCACATGCCGCAGCCGACCCACCGTGGTGGTCTGCATGCACTCGTCGGTCACGCAGGGGAGACTACAAGGATCTACATTCATCCAGCATGTCGCACTGGTGACACTTGCTAGAAGAAACAGCTAACAAAATGGAGGAAAAGAAAACATTTCCAAATAATTTTTTTTAGCTCCTTACTCCTGACACTAGGCAACAAACCAGAGACTTGTCAGCAGGTGGGGGGTTGGGCCACCAGCAGGGGCCGTCCCTAGGCTGTCTTTGTCTTTTGTTATGTGCCTAGCGTCCTTCTCCTGCAGGTGGCGATATACCATACAGGATCTACGATCTGTTGCCCTATGTCCTTCAATGAACGGGAGAGAAAAGGTATGTTTTATAGTATGCCATAAATCATGGATCACGCACAAGGCATTAACAAGGACTTTTCTTTCAAACTGCAAACAAGTGCTAAAGAAACACATGAAATGTTCAAATTAGTTTATGGGGATGCTAAAGTGACCATGAAGACGGTATATAAGTAGTTCGATCAATTTCTGAATGGTTGTGAATCGGTTGAGGTGGAGATGAGGAGAGATTGAAGCATCCTTCAACATTAAAAATCCAAGAGAATGTTGAAAGAGTAAGCAAAATGATTCGATCAAACAGGCGATTGACCATTAGCGAAATTTCTGAGGATCTGAACATCCACGATGTGCGTAGAAAATGGCATCATCCTCCATCATGACAACGTTCCGTGTCACCCACCGCTTCTGGTACAACAATTTCTGTCAACGGTGTGTCCTCATCCACCTTGTTCATCGGATCTGGCACTGTGCAATATCTGGCTCTTCGCCAAAGTCAAAATGACCATGAAAGTTAAACGTTTTGAATCGATTCAGGACTTCCAGGTAGCCATGACAGTACACCTAAAGACACTCACCAAAGAGAACTTCCAGAACTGATTCAGAAAGTGGCAAGAATGCGACTTTGTTTGGTTTTGTACCCTTCCCTGCAATTTAAGCTGGTTGAATGCAAGCTGCTGCCAGATATGATGATTGTATTTGGGCCCTCTTGAGGAACTGTATATGTATAAGAAAAATGTGAAAAAACCCTTGTTAAATAAAGAATTTACAAAAAAAAAAAAAAAAGTGGCAAGAACAATGAGATAAGTGTGTTCGAAGCAAGTGGGAGTATTTTGAGGGGGATTAATGGCAATGTGTCTTTTTACGGTCATTATTTTTTATTTAAACATTCACCGTATTTTTTGATCACACCTCGTATACTGGACTTATGTAAATATGAGCACGCGTAGCAGCACACAACCTCAAAGGCAGAATGTCTAATTAGGGTTGTGGACCTATACGCTGGTAGTCCAGCGTATATCCGCATACAGCCATTGACTTTTATGGGAGGCTGTATGCAGCACCCGTGGCCAGAGCCAGATTTCTTACAAGGCCACTGAGGCCTGGTCTTGGGGTGGCAGGGAGAAGGAAGCCGCCACTCGTTTAGTGCAAGTGATCCCGGCGATGCTGCCGAGATCACTTGTAATAAGCCTGCAGGTCCCCCCCTACATAGTACCCCTCCCCGCGATAGTTTTCGGGGTCCCCCGGCAAATTCATTCAGGGGGGGAGCAAAGCGGAGAGCATCCATTCTCCGCTCTGCGTAAACACCGAGATGGGAGAGCTCCACTCGCACCCTTCCCATCTCAGCTGTCACAGGAGTTTGCACACAGTGCTGTGCTCAAAAACCTGTATTGGAAGTGACAGGTTCAATAAAGAGAATCTGTCACCTCCAAATGCTATCACACAGGAGCTAAGTGAAAAAAAATAAAATTGATAAAAAGCAAAAAACAATAAAATCGAGATGCATTGACAAACCTGGCCTAAGGGCAGCAGAGAGTAAATCCAGCCCTGCCTGCCCATGGCTCCACAAAGGCAGAAACACGCCTCAATTTACACCAGTGTGCAAGAGCCCTCACAAGGTGGGCTCAGAACAACGAAAGCTGCTGAGTCAGTGCCAATGACCCCATGCATTATATGTTACCTTTTATTTCATGTTGTTTCACTATAAGGCTGACTGTTGGAGAACAAGCACTTTAGCACAGCGCTAGACCACTAAGACCAAAACTACAGGTCAACAGCACTCCCGCTTGGACTTTTCAACGTAAGCTGAACCGACACCTTGACGTCACATCGAAGGTGCCCACACATTGGGAAAAATAGGCACAGAGGTGTGTGGTTAGAGCGCTGAATCTTGAACAATATAGGTGTGAGCCCCCTGACACCGCCTCCCCGGTTGTCTTTGCAACGTCTCGCTACCTGACGACCTCGTCCAGCCTCTGACGTCATTAAGGAGCTGGAAAGCGTACCAGGGAAGGAGAGGTGGGCGTGTCGAGATTGTGGGCGGCAATAGGTAGGAGGGGGCGCGGTTACCGCAGAAAAACATCAACGTTACGGGTGGCAGGGAGGGGCTTAGCCGGATGCTGGGGTGGTGGTTGGCCGGCTGTGGTTTGCGCACTCTCTGTTGCTTGCAGTCTTTTGTTAGTCGCCG